AGAGGAGGACAGGGTGGAGGACAGAGAGGAGGACAGGGTGGAGGACAGAGAGGAGGACAGAGAGGAGGTCAGAGAGGAGGACAGAGAGGAGGACAGGGAGGAGGACAGAGAGGAGGACAGAGAGGAGGTCAGAGAGGAGGACAGAGAGGAGGACAGGGAGGAGGACAGAGAGGAGGACAGAGAGGAGGTCAGAGAGGAGGACAGAGAGGAGGACAGGGAGGAGGACAGAGAGGAGGACAGAGAGGAGGACAGGGAGGAGGACAGAGAGGAGGACAGGGAGGAGGACAGAGAGGAGGACAGAGAGGAGGACAGGGAGGAGGACAGAGAGGAGGACAGAGAGGAGGACAGAGAGGAGGACAGGGAGGAGGACAGAGAGGAGGACAGAGAGGAGGTCAGAGAGGAGGACAGAGAGGAGGACAGAGAGGAGGTCAGAGAGGAGGACAGAGAGGAGGACAGGGAGGAGGACAGGGAGGAGGACAGAGAGGAGGACAGGGAAGAGGACAGGGCGGAGGACAGAGAGGAGGTCAGAGAGGAGGACAGAGAGGAGGACAGAGAGGAGGACAGGGAGGAGGACAGAGAGGAGGACAGGGTGGAGGACAGAGAGGAGGTCAGAGAGGAGGTCAGAGAGGAGGACAGAGAGGAGGACAGGGCGGAGGACAGGGCGGAGGACAGAGAGGAGGACAGGGCAGAGGACAGGGCGGAGGACAGAGAGGAGGTCAGAGAGGAGGACAGAGAGGAGGACAGAGAGGAGGTCAGAGAGGAGGACAGAGAGGAGGACAGGGCGGAGGACAGAGAGGAGGACAGGGCAGAGGACAGGGCAGAGGACAGGGAGGAGGACAGGGTGGAGGACAGAGAGGAGGACAGAGAGGAGGACAGAGAGGAGGACAGGGAGGAGGACAGAGAGGAGGACAGAGAGGAGGACAGGGAGGAGGACAGGGAGGAGGACAGAGAGGAGGACAGAGAGGACAGAGAGGAGGACAGGGAGGAGGACAGAGAGGAGGACAGAGAGGAAGACAGAGAGGAGGACAGGGAGGAGGACAGGGAGGAGGACAGAGAGGAGGAAAGGGAGGAGGATAGAGAGGACAGAGAGGATCACAGAGAGGAGGACCAACACACACACACCGCACCCCACACCCCGGCTCGGAGGCTGTCCCACTGGCTCTCTCCTCCTCCCCCCAAAGGGCTGCTGGGTCCTCCAGCTGAGCCTCTCCTGCTGCCTCTCCCACTGGGAGGGCGAGCTGTGCGCGTTGTGTTGCTCAAAAGAAGGAATTAAATGAAAATCATTGTACTCAGGTTCTAGGAATTTAAAATTAAATTGATTTATTTAATCAGATGTTTCTCCCTAGGGAGCCACAGTTTGAGGAGGAGGCAGTGCCCAGGCCGTGTCCGCCCACAACCGCCTCCCGGGGCCTGGGCGGTGCCCCCTCCCCCCGTCCCCCCCAGACACACACACACCCAGGCCGGCTGATCCCCGTGGAGAGGGCGTGGCAGACGAGAACCTAAAGGAACAGGCTGAGTGAGAAGCAGCATTTATTGGGATCAGTAAGAGCTGTTCGAGGTCTGATTCAGTCTGAATCCCAGCGGCCTTCTGGTGAGGGCAGGGGCGGGTGACGGGGCAGATCACACAGCACAGTGATTCCAAGTCTAAACCATGTTCTCACTTTCAGCCGGGTAGTCATCAGCCCAGTAGTCAGAACTGCTTTCCTGTATCTTTGCAGTTTTTAAAAGTAACACACATTTACTGGTTTCAGAGGGGAAGGGAGAGGAAGAGATATAATAAAAACATCAATGATGACAATCATTGATTGGCTGCCTCCTGCTCCCACGGGATGGGCCTGACCAGAATCGAACCGGGACCTCCTGGTTCATAGGTCAATGCTCAGGAGGCTTCTTTGTAGTCTTTTGGGAAACAGCGCAGTTAGGCCCAGCCCGCAGGTATTCTGTGGTTCTGAGGGCCTCTGGCAACGCCCCCCCCCCCACCTCCGCCCCCCTCCCCCCCACTCCGCCCCTGCCCACTTTCGGAGGGCGTGTGAGGAACACAGAGGGCGGGAACCGAGTGGGCGAGGAGCCTCGTGAGGAGGTAGCAGGACATCTCAGGAGAGCATCCCAGCACCGGGTCAGGAGGGCACAGGCCCTGGGCAGGCCAGGCTGGCGGAGCCTGAGCACCCAGGCCGAGGCTTGGCCAGTGGAGTGTGGTGGGCGGAATGGTAGCCGAGGCCCAGCTGGTATAAGCATTTTTGGGGACCCTCAGACTGGTGGGGGGTCTGAGAGAGGAGAGGCTGAGCTGACTTTTATTTATTTTTTATATATTTTATTGATTTTTTTTTTACAGAGAGGGAGATGGTTAGAAACATCGATGAGAAACATTGACCAGCTGCCTCCTGCACACCCCCTACTCGGGATGTGCCTGCAACCAAGGCACATGCCCTTGACCGGAGTCAAACCTGGAGCCCTTGAGGCTGCAGGCCGACGCTCTATCCACTGAGCCAACCTGGTTTCGGCTGAGCTGACTTTTAAACAGGCTGCCAGGCTGCCTCCCTAGGGGCAGCCACTGCTCTGAACCAGGCCTGTGGGGCATTGTGACCACGAGGCTCCCAGCAGATCTCAGTTCTCAGTCCTGTCAGGCCCAAGGCCGGCCCCCCGCCCCCGCACCCGCACCCGGGCCTGGGCCTGGCGGCACCCAGCCCTGCTGAGGCGCAGAGCCCATGCTGTGCCCTCAGCCTCCGCGGGGAGGCCCCGCCGGGGTGGGCGAGGGCGGCCGCCGGGACGAGGCCATGGCGTGCCCGGGTCACTGGCTGCAGCCTGGCAGGTGCCCGTCCCGCCTTGTAGGAGCAGAAGGGCCGGCCAGTACTCAGTGAGCCCGTGAACAGCCAGCTCTTCACCCGGAGGACAGGGCCTGGCCGTGCCAGGCCAGGAGCTACTTAGGAAACGGCAAAGTGCCTTTTCATCCTGTAGAGGGCGTTGCAAACTGCAGGTTACTTCGTAAGTTGTTTTGTAAACAGCCTTGAGCTTTGCGAACCATGAGGCTGTTTGGTCCAGTATGGCACTCTGTAAGCAGCGTGACCTGCAGGCCTGGCCCGGGGTGGAGGGCTGTGCCAGGAGGGTCTGTGGGGAGCCAGACCCCACCCGTCACCCTGCAGCAGCAGAGCTCCCGGTGGGGCCTGCGCACGGCGGGGGCAGGGGCCGCCAGGACACACAGGTGGCCAGGGCTGAGGCGCAGGAGCAAAGCCCCAGGCAGGCCCTGGCCACCCAAAGCCTCTACCCTCTGGCCCCCACCAGGACCCTGGGAGGGTGGCGGCGGGAGGGGGAGGGGGTAAGGGTTGGCCCTTGGCCGCAGGGTGCTCGGAGGCCTTGCGGGCAGGGCTCTGGGGGCCCGGGTCCAGGCTGGCGTCTGGTGTCTCCTGGCAGCTGCCGGAGCGACAGGGATGCACCCTGGGCCTCGGCGGCCTGCCGGGGAGTGCGGGGGCCGTGCACACAGGGCTGGGGACTCACTCCCTCCTCCTGCTTTGCTGTATGTTTTCATTCGTTAGCAAAGGCTGAGTGAGATCTGCTCAGACGAAGCCTGGCTGGACCAGAGACAGGCCTGGGGGAAAGGGGTCCCAGGGAGGAGGTAGTCTGTGTGAGAAGGCTAAAAAGGGCGAATTCCACTGTAACCCTGATATTTGGGGCTAGTGATCCGAGTCCCAGCCAGCGAGCTCAGTGCACATCCTGATAACCTGAAGTGAAGTCCCTCTCTCCTTCCCAGACCCTGGTCCTGCAGAGCCTGTCACTGTGGACAGCCTGCCCCGGAGGGGGTTACTAATGCGGCACCAGGCCAGACCCTCAGGTATGGCTGGAGACCCCAGCCCCCGGGGCCTTCTTGCAAGGCCCTCGAAAAGGACCGGAAGCATAACCCATGACACGGAGATATAGGGAGGGTCCCACGCATACTCCTTCGCTCAGATTTGGGAGGCTGTTCCCTGAGTCGGCCGGCATATTGCACAGGGTCCCTCCTCTTCTTTGAAGCGTCCTTGGCTCTCATTGGTCTGCTGCAGCGTGTCAGACCCACGGTGGAGCAGCCTTCATCACGGGGGAGGCTGGGGGAGGGGCAGAGTGCCTCAGTGCTCAGTGCTCAGGGTTGTGCCAGGGAAGGGTCAGTGCAGAAGGCTGTCCCAGGCGGAGCTCTTTGGCACCAGGCTGTGCTGAGGATGGGCAAGGGGCGGGGATGGGGGCTGAGGTAGAGGAGAGAGGACCCAGAGAAGATGCCCCGAGCTCCCCTGGAGGACAAGGAGGCGCATTCTCAACCCTGGGCCCTGGGTGCGAGGATCCTCCTGGCTGTGACTGCAGGAGGCGGCGGCGGGGATGTGACCCCTTCCTGACCAGCAGGCCAGACCTGGGGCCTCAGCTGGAGTCTGAGCCCTCTGCTGAACAGGGAGGAGCCGTGGGGCCCGCCTTGTCCCCTCGAGGGGGGCGACAGAGAAAGCAGCGAAGGCGCCACGAGCTCGGCCGACGCCTGAGCCACGGTGCTCCCGTAGCAGGGGCAGTCCCAGACCTCAAGGACCTCGGGCCAACCTGGACCTCGGCAACGAGGCCTTCCTGAGCCCCCCCCGAGGGCACGGCGGCTCCAAGCCTGCTTCTCAGCAGACGGGCTTGGTGGCTTCGGCACCTTACTCAGTCCTCGGGCCTGCTTCTCACCAACCGGGGACACAGAGAGCCCAAGGCACTAACACCCACCCCCTGAGGGCGCAGCGGCCGTGCGGGCCCCGGGCGGCGCTGTCCCACCGCCGGGGTCAGGCCCGTGCCTGCTGCTCCACCGGCACCCAGCCCAGCCCGGGCCCCGGGCAGCCTCCCGACCACGGCCCGGCCCGGCCCGGGCCCCGGGCAGCCTCCCGCCCACGGCCCGGCCCGGCCCGGGCCCCGGGCAGCCTCCCGACCACGGCCCGACCCGGCCCGGGCTGGGGTCCTTCCGGGGCACAGGCCCCAGAGCGTGGGCTCGCCACAGGGAGTCTCACTCCGCCTCTGGACCTTTTTTTTTTTTTAATTAAAACAGCAAACAGGTAACTGCCCCAACCCATCAGGGACAGGACCCAGGACAGGCAGTCCTTTCTTGAAAAAAAGAAAAAAAGCATATTTGTATATGTGTGTATAGACACACACACACACACACACACACACACACACACTATTAAGCAAATCTACAGCCTGCCAGGCCAGCCTGAGGAGTGTCTGAGCAGGGACTGGAGGCCAACCTCCTGGACGCACCTGAGCAGAGGTGAGTCTTGGCTGCGGGCCCCCGGCGGCTCCACACCAGCAACACCACAACACCAGCAGCACAAACCCAGCCCAGCCCACAAAGCAGAGGGAAGAAGAGGATAAATTAAACAAAAAGTGAACAGACGCCCCTTGATGGGAGAGGAGGGGCAGGGCGCTGGGTCCTGGAGGCCCGGTGCAGGCTGGCGAGGGCTCCAGCAGCTGCGTCTCCGCAGGGCTCAGCAGGCTCACCCCGTCCGTACCCACACCACCAGCGCCACGTCCTGAGTCAAAGTGTGCGAAGTCCATTCAGTCAAGAAGTAAAAAAATATACAACTGATGGTACCCAGGCAGGCCCAGGCAGTGCACAGGTGCCGGCTGCCTTCTCTGTGAGCGGCGGCAGCATATGGGGGCATCCAGGTCCCCCCAAGTCCAGGGTCTCGGGGGCTGAAGACTTGGTGTCCTTGAAGCAGCAGGACAGAGAACTGGTAGGCCCATGGGAGCCGCGGGGAGCCCCAACAGTGTGATTGCTTGGCGCTTGGGACCAGGATGCCCACGGCCAGTGGCAGCAGCTCAGGGGTGTGGGCAAGCCTGGCCCCCGCGGAGGTCTCTGGGCTGTGGGGTCCTCCTACGAGTCCTCTCCCAGGATCTTCTTCACAAAAGCAGCGATGTCCGTCTTCTTGGTTTTGTGTAAGGTGAAGAAAGGGTGCTCCTGGTGGGACCGGACAAGGCGTGAGGAGATGCTCCCGCCGCCCACCCCATCTGGGCCGTGTGCCCGGCCTGGCAGACGCCCTCATTCTCCTGGGGTTCCGCCCAGAAAGCCCTCCCGGTTACGACAGCAGTCGACTGCCTCCTGGGCTCTCCACTAGGCATCCACCGGCCACAGCACATTCAACGTGGAAAGCCCACTCCATTGTAGGTCAGTCCTTATTCATCCTTCCAGGCCAATTCATATGCCACCCCTCCAAGAAGCCTTCCCTGATGCCTTCAGATAAAACAGCCCACCTGCCTCCCACCCGCCGCCTGTGGCCCTGCCTGTGTGCCCTCTGCAGGGCTGGGCGTGGGGCTGGTGCTGGAGGAAGGACGCAGGGCCAGCCCGAGGAGCTGCCTGCCGTGCGGGGCCGCCGCCCTCCCCGAGAGCCGCCAGCACTGTCCCCACACTCACCATCAGCTCCAGGTAGCTCATGCGCTCCGCGGGGTCCTTCCTCAAACTAGGAGAGAGCAGGGCAGGCTGGGGTCAGGCCGGCCGGCCTGCGGGAGGGGCCCAGCCCCTCAGGCCGGCCGCGCCCCGGAGCCTGGGCAGCGAGGGACACGTGCTCCGGGCGTGGGGCAGGAGCGGACTGCTCTGCGAGCTCCTGAGACCGGGGGCCCCCGGGCAGGCCTGACGGGCCACGTCCTCCGCCTCTGGGCGCTGGTTCTCCTCTCTACAGCTACCCAGGAAACCTCATGCTGCCGTGAGCGCTCCTACCCTTGGCGTCCTCTCTCGGGAGGGCATTCCCAGCAGGACAGGGAGCCGAGGGAAGGGCACCGGGGGATGTGACTGCGGCCCCTCGGTCCTCAGCCTTGTTTATTTTCTAACAAGAGAAGTACAGGCTGTGAGCTTTCCTCCGAGTCTCCACGCACAGCACTCAGACACTGGCATGCCATTTTCTCATTCCCGCTTCTGAACAGCTTGTAAATTCCTCTTTCGGAACTCCTCCATGGGCCAGAGCCCGTCGGGAGATTTCACTTGAACCTCCACGCAGCTTCCCCTGGTTGTGGACACGTCTTACCCCCGGGGGCAGACCGCGGCCACGCCTCTCGCACTGCTTCATACGGCTGCCGTGGCGGGCACGCGCAGCGTGGGAGAGTCCCAAACACCAGCAAAGCGCCTTCTTCCCACCGTGCCCGCCCCTAAAGCGCTCTGCCTTCTCTCCGCCTCCCCGGGTCTGTGCGGTCAGAGGCCCAATGTCACGTCCCTGGCTCAGCACTGCCTCAGTGCACGTGGCGTGGCGGGGCTCTGTGCTGGGGGAGGAGGTGCCGGCAGGGCAGCCGCTGCCCAGCCAGGCGCTGCACTCACCATTGGGCAGTGAAGTCCACAAACTCCGGAGAGAAGCGGTCCACCGGGAGCTGAGGGGATGGCTCTTCCACCACCTGCTTCAGCTGCTGGAAGGGGGTCCCCCAGGACTCGTAGGGGAACCGCAGGATGGCCATCTCTATCTGCAGGGAAGATGGGGTGCTGTCACCCTCTGCATCAGCAGCAGGGCAGGTGGCCGGGGCTGTGAGGCCCGGTCAAAGGTGAAAGCCAGGTAGAGCCAGCAGCTGCAGCTCCGACAGCCAGCAGCAAGGACGGCTCCTGGAGCAGGGCCCGGCCTGGGTGGGTGTGGCTCTGACCATCCTCAGGCACTCGAACAACCTGAACCGGACGATTTCACATGAAAACCCAGGAAAGCCCGCGGAGCTGCGGCCGGCACCTGTCTCTGAGGCAGCAGCTCGCTGTTCACAGGCCCCTGCCCCCAAACATCTCCCTCATTGCTCCCTACTGTCCCCTAACACCTCCCCTGCCGTCGAGCTGAGCAGCTGCTGATACAGAGGCGGCAGTGGAAGCCAAAGACACTCTTACCCACCTCCCCATGGCCGTGGAGGGGATGTGGGACCCAGGCCGCACTCAACCCTGCTTCCCAGCAACGCAGCCCAGGACTCTCAGCTGTGGAGTCTGCAGCCCTCCTCCATCGTCCCCCACTGCCCCGACCCAGCCACCCCCCGCAAGGCCCATCCCCCGCCTCCTCCTCCAGAAGCCTTCTCCTCTCCCCATCATGGGTTCTCCCTGACCCCCTGGACGTGTGGCCGCCGTAGGTCTGTCCACCCTGCTGGGCGTGGGCCTACGCTCCCTGCACGTGGCATCGGGCCCGCTCTGCACCCAGGCAGCCCTCCGCTCACGCCTCGCCTGCCTTAGCAGGAAGTCACCGTAGAACGCACTGGCCAGCTTATGACCAACTCTGCATTCAGTTTTCCCTGCCGAAGTGAAAACACCGATCAGCGTGAAACCGCACAGATGTCCCCGCGGCAGGCGTGACGCACAGCAGAGACCGCAACTCAAACGCACGCTCATGCTGGCAGGCAGCACCGAACAGCTCGCCGACTGCTCTGCGAAGAGCTTTCCCGTAAGGCTGACAGCCTTTTCCAGTGGAGACACACACCCCCAGAAATGAGGCTATGCACAGCGCAATGGGCGCGCGCGTGTGTGTGTGTTGCATTAAGGAAAATTGAAGGTGTCGCCTGTTCCTCCCTTTTGTCTGAAAAAATGACTTGCATTCTCAGTCACTGTGAACAGACACAGGTTGTAAAATTATAATCCTACAACGAGGAGGATTATGGCAACTGCAGCATCATTGAAATGTAAGACACCTCCAATGACCCTGACCTCTCTAGCCTCCCCCACCCCTGGCCCAGGCTCCCCGAGGCACCCCCGGCCCAGGCTCCCCCAGGCACCCCCGGCCCAGGCTCCCCCAGGCACCCCCGGCCCAGGCTCCCCCAGGCACCCCCGGCCCAGGCTCCCCCAGGCACCCCCGGCCCAGGCTCCCCCAGGCACCCCCGGCCCAGGCTCCCCCAGGCACCCCCGGCCCAGGCTCCCCCAGGCACCCCTGGCACAGGCTCCCCCAGGCACCCCCGGCCCAGGCTCCCCCAGGCACCCCTGGCCCAGGCTCCCCCAGGCACCCCTGGCCCAGGATCCCACCAGAGACTTTGCTGCTCTGCTCCTGTGCCCAGGCACGCTCCAACCCGCTCCCCTCTCTCCACACCCCGGCCCCTCTATCTGCCTGTGGACGGAAACTGCCCCCAACACCAGGAGCTGAGGCCTGAGGCAGAGAGTGCTCCTCCCGGCACGCAGGCCAGCAGGCCACCGGGCTGGCTCCTGCAGGCGAGGCCCCGAGCACTGGGTCTCAGCACAAGTCACCCGGCGGCATGCTGGATTCCTCCATCTCTGCCGCTCTGGGCCACCGGGCTCCCAAGAATAACGAGCTCACCGCGCCCACCCAGGAGGGGGCCAGGGCTCGACTGGACGGTTCTTACAAACAAGAGTCTCCTGGGCCAGTCCCTCGCCTCGACCTCAGGTGCAGCCTCCGGCTCAGCAAGGGCTGGGCACCCCCCAGCCCGGCCCCACAGCTCAGGATGGAGAGCCCGCCACCCCACCCCGCCCCCCATGGCCGCGCACCAGGACCCACGGGCAACGCGCTTCTTGCCGTGAAGACATCTTAGGGCCCTCTACGATTTTGCTTTTAAGATTGTTTGAGTGGCAGGCGCTCACTTAGTTTGGAATTGGCTGTGATTCCTCACAGCGACACGAGTCTGGGGACAGTCCCTGGGCACCGCTGTCCAGAGCTTCTGTGCAGGCGCCTCACCACCAGGGAGGGCCAACGCCACCACGGTCACTCCTGTCATTATACCGTCACTTGGGGCGCCTCAGGGAAGCCAGCACGTCTCCGGGGCCCCCACGCTCCCTGCGAATGTGCCCCCGCCAGCCCGCAGGCCCGGCCGATACCATGGTGATGCCGAGGCTCCAGACGTCCGACTTCACGTTGTAGCCCTTCTGGTTCAGCTCCGGGTTGATCCTCTCGGGCTGCGAGAAGGACCAGGGAGGCATAAACACCCTGCACAGGGGTGCCGAGCCCCCGGCCCCAAACTCCCCCGCCTCCCGGGACAGGTGAGGAAACTGAGGCCAGGGAGGGTCAGGGTCTCGTGGTGGAGGCCTAACCCTTGCCTCAAAGGTGCCCCCGACGGGGACTGAGAAGAGCACCTTCAGGACGCTGGAGGGGGCCTACACAGACCTGTCCTCCAAACGGGTGCTACAGAGCAGGACTGCTACCCGGGGGAGGCCCTGGGCAAGGGGGTGGCGGGCCACCTCAGGGCCAGAGGACCCCCGAGGCCCAGGAGGGGGCAGGGCTGCTCACCGCCATGTAGGGCTTGCAGCCGGCGTCCATCGTCTTGGCCACGGAATCCACCAAGTAGCCGCTGATGCCAAAGTCGCACATCTTCACGTGGCCCTCCTTGTTGATGAGGACGTTCGAAGGCTTCACGTCTGCAGGAACCGAAGGGCCACTCAGCCGGGCCCCAGCCGCCCGGGCAGACACCGCGGGACCAGGGAGCGCGGAGGGACCGAGGCTCCGGGAGGCGCTGCCACGCCCGGGCATCAGGGGACGACCGGTGGAGGACGGCTCCAGCCGCCGGCCCGAGTGAAAGGAAGCCGGGGCCTCGCTGTGCCCGGCGGCTAACACCAGGGGGCAGTCTGCAGGAACACGGCCCGCCCCGGGCCGGAGGCTGCACAGCGGGAAATCTCCAGCAAACGCACCCTCCCCCCAGGGGTCTGGGGAAGGCCAGAGCCGCCAAGGGGCTCAGCCTGGTGAACTCTGCACAAACCAGCCCAGCCTGGAAGAGCCATGAGAGGAGAAACCACAGCACCCAGCCTGGGGAGCTCGGACGGGACGTGAGGCCCAGGGAAAGAGGCCAGACAGAGGCACGGGTGTGGCGGCAACTGATAGGAAGTTCAAAAACAAGACAATCCAATCTGTGTGTGTGGGGGGGGGGGGGGGGCGACGAGGAGCACTGGGGGATGTGGGGTGCAGGGACCAGCCAGAAAGGGCCAAGGGAACTTTCCAGGACGGGGGAGGGGGGAGCATCCTGTCTCTTCCCAGGGTGGCGGACACATGGTATAAACTCTGAACAGACTCATGCAACAGCACTAGAGCTTCGTGTGTCACAATATGCAAACAACACTTCCAGACAAAGCCAGTCCGCAGCCGGCCGCCGGCCACAGCCCGCCTAGTCCTTGCTCAAAGCAAACCTGGGGGTAGGGGAGGTGGGTCACCGAAGGGCCGGTACTGGCTCTGGGTGGGTCCCAGGAAAATGGCTGGACATGTGAGCGGCCTCGCTGGGAAGAGCCTCACCACCAATCCAGCAGCACATCCCGCCTCCCCTCCCGGGCTCCGCTTGGAAACGAGAGGCCCCCTCCCAGGACGGGCTGAGACCACGCTCGAGGGGTTGGGGGGGCCCTTCCTGGGGGCCGCGGCGGCACTAACCTCGGTGAATGACGGACAGCTTGCTGTGCAGGTGCTCCAGGGCCCTCACTATCTGTGCGCAGGACAGAGAACAGAGCTGATGCGTGCACCAGCCAGGACAGCGCAGTAACCCCGCCCGCCTGTCACCCTTACTCACACCCCAGCCCTCATCAGCCCAGGCTCCCGCCACACCCAGCCTTAGCCCTGGACACCTGGCGTCTCTGGGACAGGCACCTGGCCTCCTGCTTGTCTCCCTCCCGGGCAAGTGGGCAGCGACTCAGCCCACAATCCCAGGAAATGATGTGCTGGAAGCCACTGCGGAGTCCTGGGCCTGTGACCCCCACGGCCACCCTGCCAGGCTCTTGGGTGAAACCCAGCCCGGCAGCCTCCCGGCTCCTTCCCCCACCCCCCAGACCTGGTCCCCTCAGCTCCCGGCTGGATGTGTTCTCAATAGGCCCAGATGCAGCCAGAGGGAACAGCACTGCCAGGCGCATTTCCTTGTCTGCTCTGCTGCCAGGACGCTCGAGCCCAGTGCTGCTTCCTCCTCGAGCTGTGCTCACCCTCAAAAGGTGGGGGTGGGTAAGAGGGTGAGGGATGAAGCAAGAAAGAAAAGACTCGGCGACAGAGACAGCATGTGGTGGCTGCCGGGGGGGGGGGGGGGGGGAGGAGGATACATAGTGATGAAGGAGACTTGACTTGAGGTGGTGAGCACAACACAACATACGGATGATGGGCTGCAGAACTGTGTGCCTGGGAGCTGTATAATTTTGTTTTTTATTTGTTTGTTTTTTTAAATATATTTTGTTGATTTTGTAGAGAGAGGAAGAGAGAGAGATAGAGAGTCAGGAACATCAATGAGAGAGTCATCCCCAGTAGGGGGTGTGCAAGAGGCAGCTGGGGATATGCCCGCAACCAAGGTACATGCCCTTGACCGGAATCGAACCCGGGACTCCTCAGTCCCCAAGCCTACACTCTAACTATTGAGCCAAACTGGTTTCGGCTAATTTTGTTAACTGTCGCCCTAATAAGCTCAATACAAATAAATAAGTAAATACATAAATGGGGGGAGGGCAAACTTTTGGATGCGACCCTTTCTCCCCCTTTCCCCAGCTTAGCGCCCCTCCCTGAGCTGCTGAGGAAGCTGTGAGTGCTAAGTCCTCTCAAATGGTCCTCGAGGCCCTGGAGCTCCAGCTCCGTGTCTCTGGGAGGAGGCTGCAGGGTCTCCTCAGCAAAGCTCTGGCCGAGTGGAGGTGCTGGGGCCCTGCAGTTGCCCAGGTTCAGGGCCACACTGGGGCGCAGCTCAGCCCAGAACACCACCACGAGACTGGGCCTTGTGCCTGCTGGGCCGGGCCGGGGCCCTGGCTATGCACCTGGAGCCCCCAGCGCCCCATCCCGCCCTGAAGCCACTTACAGACACAGCAATCTCCCCCAGGATGTCCTCGGGAATCACCAGGCCTTTCTCAAGCACCTTCCGGTAGAACTTGTCCAGGGACGTGTCCATGAGCTCCATGCAGATCCACACGTCTCCCTGGGCCAGGAGGCGGGGCCAGAGGTCAGCTCAGGCCCCGGCTGCCCTGGGCCAGGCCTCTGGCTGATCCACCAGCCTCCCCCAGCTCCTCCCATCCGCCTCCCTGAGCTTCCTGACCCGCACCTTCTCCACCTTCCTGGCGGCACAGCAGCCTCCCCGGGGCTCCCCTCTCTGATCCCTAAGTCCATGGTGATTTCCAGGAAGAAGTGACCAAACACTGGGTCCCTCCATCCAACAGTCACTTCTGGGATCTGGCCATGACCCAGCCCCACAAAGCCTCCGGTTCAGCCCTGTGGCCCTATCACACGGGGCACCCAGCTCTGACCCTGACACAGATCCCTCCTCCCCCGCGATGCCTGCCGTCCCCGCCTCCGCACCTTTCAGCACAACCTTCCTGAAGGAAGGTGGGGTGTGGCACTCCTCGGGGTTCCCACAGGCCCCCGGGCCCTGCCAGCTCTGACCCCCACACGGGGAGGCTGAGTGGCACGGCGGTGGAGCCTGGCCTGGCACACAGTGGGTCTGGACACTCCACCAGCTCAAGGGCCACTCGGTGCTCAGACAGTGAGGCTGGGCCAGGAGCCCGGCTCCCCTGAACCAGGCGGCAGCCGCCACTACCAACAAGAGCACCCAACCTAGGCTCCTGGCTCCGTCCACGTCCTCCCGGCTCCAAGGCCACACCCTGCTTCACCCAGTCCCGGCCCACCCCCACCCCCACCCCCACTGCTGCCCCACCCGGAGCCACCCTCAGCCAGGATGCTGCTCAGGCGGTGGTCACACCACCTGGTGGCACACGCACTGAACGCCAGGCCCTGGCCACACCATCTCATCCTGACCACCTTGTGAGGCGGGTGTGGTGACTGCTCTCATTTCATAGACAAGGAAACTGAGGAAGGAAGCAAAGACGGGCGTCTGGCTCCGAGGCCTGCGCTCTCCAGAGCCCTGCTCTCTGTCCCACAGGGAGGGAGGACCCGCTCACTCCTGCGCCCGGCGCCCGGCGCCCGGCACTCAGGGGCACTCAGCAAGTGGCTGCTGGGGCCCAGAATGACCACAGTGGCTTCGTTCAGGCTAGGGGGCGGGGGTGAGTGCGCCATGGAGGGAAGGCAGGGTGTCGGAGCTGCTGGCCCCAGCCTGGCACCCCGCCCCCACTCCTGCCAGGCCCACCTCTCGGAAGAGGGCCCCGTAGAAGGTAACGGTGTAGAAGCAGTCGACGGTGCGCATGTTCACATCCAAGTCCATGAGCAGGCGCTTCTGCTCCTGGGAGTTCACGGTGGCCCGGATCCGCTGCCACGAGAGGGCCGCAGGTGAGGGGCCGTGCGGCAGGAGGGCCCCAGCCTCAGCCCCCTCCTCAGCCACCTCCCAGGGGTCCTGTGGCCCAGTGCTCCCCGGCAGGGTGGGACCCCGCTGACCTTCACAGCCATGATGGTGCCGCTCTGGGCGTGCCGCACCTTCTCCACCACCCCGTAGGCTCCACGCCCCAGCTCCGCGATGGTCACCAGGTCATCGGCCTCCACCTCAAAGTTCTGGGGGAGCGGGAGAGAGAGAAGGTTGGTGGTCAAAAGCCAGGAGCGGCCCTGCCTCCTTCCATGGACACAGCCGGGGGAGCGGCAGGTCAGACCCGGATCCAAGTCCTGCACCAGCCCCTCCTGCAGTGCGACCGACCGGGACACGTCCTTCCCTCTGAGCACCACACCCAGGACAGGCTGTGACGCGCCCCGCAGGCACAGGGGACTCGGAAGGTAGACCGAGTTATTCAATCTGCTGAGTGCCTACTCTGTGCAAGTCCGTGGTAGGCACTGGAGACAGAGAGGCCAGCCTTGCCCTCCCAGGAAGCAGCGTGGCCGTGGCCATCTAGTCTCTCGAGCTCGCCCTCTGCGGGAGGCAGACCCAAAAGAAAGCAGCAAGTCGATGGACCGGACATCCAACAGTGCCGGTCAGGCGGGAGACAGCCTGAAGGAGCTGTCCGCAGGGAGAGGCCGCCGTAGTGAGCCACTGCCTGGAGCCCCGTGTCTCGTGGTCCGCGGGGTCCGAGCCAGGACCACAGTCCCTGCCCGGCCGTCGGTGCCTGTGGGAATGAGGTTCCAGGCGGCACCCAAGAGTCAGTCAGGGCTCTGCATGCCCCACACAGTCCCACGGGCGATGTGGGAAAAGACTCTGAGTGGAGAGGAGGCAGGCCACTGCCTTCCAAAGAGACCGTCAGAGCGAGGCTGGGCGCGGGCTCTGCTGGAGCCCACAGCACCTCTCCTGGCCCCACGGGTCAGCTCGGGGCCCCATGGGTCAGCTCGGGCCCTCGGGGTCAGCTCGGGCCCAGCTCGGCCCCACGGGGTCAGCTCGGGCCCCCTGGGTCAGCTCGGGCCCAGCTCGGGCCCCAGGGGTCAGCTCAGGCCCCGCGGGGTCAGCTCGGGGCCCCAGGGGTCAGCTCGGGGCCCCAGGGGTCAGCTCGGGGCCCGCGGGGTCAGCTCGGGCCCCACGGGTCAGCTCGGGCCCCGCGGGGTCAGCTCGGTGCCTGCGGGGTCAACTCGGGGCCCCAGGGGTCAGCTCGGGCCCCGCGGGGTCAGCTCGGGGCCCCAGGGGTCAGCTCAGGCCCCGCGAGGTCAGCTCGGGGCCCCACGGGTCAGCTCGGGCCCCGCGGGGTCAGCTCGGGCCCCGCGGGGTCAGCTCGGCCCCTGCGGGGTCAGCTCGGGGCCCGCGGGGTCAGCTCGGGCCCCACGGGTCAGCTCGGGCCCCGCGGGGTCAGCTTGGGCCCCGCGGGGTCAGCTCGGGCCCCGCGGGGTCAGCTCGGGCCCCGCGGGGTCAGCTCGGGGCCCTCAGGGTCAGCTCGGGGCCCACGGGTCAGCTCGGGCCCCGTGGGGTCAGCTCGGGCCCCGCGGGGTCAGCTCGGGGCCTGCGGGGTCAGCTCGGGGTCAGCTCGGGCCCCGCGGGGTCAGCTCGGGGCCCACAGGTCAGCTCGGGCCCCTTAGAGGAAAAAACGGAGCCCAGGCTGCAGCCAGCACCTACCCTGTCTCCAATGGTGATGAAGGTCCGGGAGTCCAGGTTCCTAGGGGGCCTTTAGGGAGAACACAGACCCCATGAGTCTCGGAGGCGGCACTCCTCAAGCCCCTCCCCCATGTGCCAGGTGCCTCCTGAGGCGGGAGAGGAGCACAGCCCGGACCCAGACGCCATGAGCCCCAGGCCCCGACCCCACAGGGGGCTCCGGGCTCTGCTGGCCACGACCCCTACTTGCCCCGTCCCCGGGGGCCCCGCAGGAGCACCCAGGCTGACCCGGGAGACGCGGAGCAGACTCACGTGGGGCTGGGCGCGGGCGGCTTGGACACACAGGCGATCCGCAAGTCCTTCTTCCTCTTGGCCTTTCCTGGAGGGGAAGAGGGAAGCGAGGCCGCTGAGGCGGCGTCCGAGGGACTGGGCCGTGGGAACCGCCTCCCGGTGCTGCCCGCTCGCAGCTCGCCACCCGCCGCTCGGAGCCTCAGTCTCCGCATCTGTCACGTCAGGGTGGCCGGGGGCCGGGCAGCAGAGCAGCTGGGGAGTCCTGGCTGCACCAGGGCCCTTTCCTCCTGCCCCTCAGGTGTGCCTTGGCTGCCCCTCAAAGGGACGCCCCGGAAGCCCAGTCTCCTTATTGGGGTGCCACACAGGCCTGAGCCTGCCCCGCGCCTTTCTCGCTCTCACCCTGCACAGGCTGACACCCCTGCCTCTCCCAACAGCCCAGTGTGGCGGGGCTGGCAGGCGGTCGCGGGAACCCTCCATGGGGCACTGCGGGCGGGGCTGGCAGGGCGGAGGGCACTTCCGCAGGAACCAAGATGGAGACTCCAGGGAGCCGGAGGGAGGGGAGGCCGCTGGGGCCACTGCCCTTGCTCCCCGACCCCCAGCCCCCGGCCCCCCGCCCCGGCCCCCAGCCCCCAACCCCCAGCCCCCCGCCCCAGCCCCCAGCCCCCGGCCCCCAGCCCCCAGCCCTCGGCCCCCCGCCCCGGCCCCCAGCCCCCGGCCCCCGGCCCCCCGGCCCGGCCCCCGGCCCCCCGCCCCCGGTCTCCCGCCCCGGCCCCCAGCCCCCGGCCCCCGGCCCCCCGCCCCAGCCCCCAGCCCCCGGCCCCCAGCCCCCAGTCCCCCGCCCCAGCCCCCAGCCCCCGGCCCCCAGCCCCCAGTCCCCCGCCCCGGTCCCCCGCCCCGGCCCCCGGCCCCCAGCCCCTGGCCCCCGGCCCCCCGCCCCGGCCCCCGGCCCCCCGGCCCCCGGCCCCCAGCCCCCGGTCCCCCGCCCCGGCCCCCGGCCCCCAGCCCCCAGTCCCCCGCCCCGGCCCCCGGCCCCCAGCCCCCGGTCCCCCGCCCCGGCCCCCCGGCCCCCCACCCCGGCCCCCAGCCTCCGGCCCAATCAGGAATGGGACCGGCTGTGGCTGCTGCTGGAAGAGCAGACAGCGCTGCCATCCGCCCTCAGCGCTTCTGAAGCACCAGGACCGGACGGCCTGTGGGGACGGCCTGTCTGTTCTGCGGGCGGTGGGCTGAGCACAGCCGTCTCCGCAGAGGCTCCCACAGGGACGCCCGATGCCAGGCCAAGAGCACGGGCTCTCTCTGCCCGAGCTCAGATCCCACCTGGGCTCCCAGGCCTCTGAGCCTTGCCCGTCCCCGTGCCCGTGAGCAGCACCGGCCCCGGCACCCAGCACCGGCCCCGGCACCCAGCACCGGCTCCGGGCACCCGTTCCCGTGAGCAGCACCGGCCCCGGCACCCAGCACCGGCCCCGGCACCCAGCACCACCCCAGGCACCCAGCACCGGCCCCGGCACCCGTGTCCGTGAGCAGCACCGGCCCAGGCACCCAGCACCGGCCCCGGCACCCAGCACCAGCACCAGCACCCGTGCCCGTGAGCAGCACCGGCCCCGGCACCCAGCACCGGCCCCGGCACCCAGCACCGGCCCCGGCACCCAGCACCGGCCCTGGCACCCGTGCCCGTGAGCAGCACCGGCCCCGGCACCCAGCACCGGCCCCGGGCACCCAGCACCGGCCCCGGCCACCCAGCACCGGCCCCGGCACCCAGCACCGGCCCCGGCACCCAGCACCACCCCAGGCACCCAGCACCGGCCCCGGCACCCAGCACCGGCCCTGGCACCCGTGTCCGTGAGCAGCACCGGCCCCGGCACCCAGCACCGGCCCCGGCACCCAGCACCGGCCCCGGCACCCGTGCCCGTGAGCAGCACCGGCCCTGGGCACCCAGCACCGGCCCCGGCACCCAGCACCGGCCCCGGCACCGGCCCCGGCCCCGGCCCCGGCACCGGCCCCGGCACCCAGCACCGGCCCCGGCACCCGTGCCCGTGAGCAGCACCGGCGGCAGCAGTGCTCACGGCACTGCCAGCTGCTCCCTGGTGCTGGGTGCACAGGCACCAGGCCCGACCCACACTGAGGGGCCGTCACCGTGTACAGGAGCCACAAAGGACAGTGTCGGGCTGAGTGGTGTCTGTCGCGTATGGCCCCACCGCCCTGAGGGAGATCTTAGCCCACTTTACTTGGGGAAACTGAGGCTCCAAGGTGCAGTCACTACGGTGAATCGGGTCTGTCTGGGAGGCGCTCCTGGAGGTGCTGAAGGGGGGAGGGCCCAGGCTGGAGGGGGGAGGGCCCAAGCTGAAAGGGGGGAGGGCCTGGGTTGGAGGGGGGAGGACCCAGGCTGGAGGGGGAGGGCCAGGCTGGAAGGGGGAGGACCGGGCTAGAGGGGGGGAGGGCCCGGGCTAGAAGGGGGAGGACTGGGCTGGAGGGGGGAGGACTGGACTGGAGGGGGGAAGGAGGACCGGGCTGAAGGGGGAGGACTGAGCTGGAGGGGGGAAGGAAGACCGGGCTGAAGGGGGAGGACTGGGCTGGAGGGGGGAGGACTGGACTGGAGGGGGGAGAACCGGGCTGAATGGGGGAGGACCGGGCTGAAGGAGGGAGGACTGGGCTGGAGGGGGAGGGCCTGTGCTGAAGGGTGGAGGGCCTGGGCTGGAGGGGGGAGGACCGGGCTGAAGGGGGAGGACCGGGCTGAAGGGGGGAGGACCGGGCTGAATGGGGGAGGACTAGGCTGAAGGGGGAGGGCCCAGGCTGAGGGGGGGAGGACCAGGCTGAATGGGGGAGGACCGGGCTGAAGGGGGAGGGCCCAGGCTGAAGGGGGGAGGACCGGGCTGAAGGGGGAGGGCCCAGGCGGAAGGGGGGAGGACCGGGCTGAAGGGGGGGGGCCCAGGCGGAAGGGGGGAGGACCGGGCTGAAGGGGGAGGGCCCAGGCTGGAGGAGGGAGGACCGGGTTGAAGGGGGGGAGGACCGGGCTGAATGGGGGAGGACTAGGCTGAAGGAGGAGGGCCCAGGCTGAGGGGGGGAGGACCAGGCTGAATGGGGGAGGACCGGGCTGAAGGGGGAGGGCCCAGGCTGAAGGGGGGAGGACCGGGCTGAAGGGGGAGGGCCCAGGCTGAAGGGGGGAGGACCGGGCTGAAGGGGGAGGGCCCAGGCTGAGGGGGGGAGGACCAGGCTGAATGGGGGAGGACCGGGCTGAAGGGGGAGGGCCCAGGCTGAAGGGGGAGGACCGGGCTGAAGGGGGGAGGACCGAGCTGAAGGGGGAGGGCCCAGGCTGAAGGGGGAGGACCGGGCTGAAGGGGGGAGGGAGGACCAGGCTAAAGGGAGGAGGACTGGGCTAAAGGGAGGAGGACCGGGCTGAATGGAGGAGGGAGGACGGGGCTGAAGGGGGAGGACCAGGCTGAAGGGGGGAGGACCAGGCTGAAGGGGGGAGGACCGGGCTGAAGGGGGAGGGCCCAGGCTGAAGGGGGAGGACCGGGCTGAAGGGGGGAGGGAGGACCGGGCTAAAGGGAGGAGGACTGGGCTGAAGGAGGAGGACCGGGCTGAATGGAGGAGGGAGGACGGGGCTGAAGGGGGAGGACCAGGCTGAAGGGGGGAGGACCAGGCTGAAGGGGGAGGACCAGGCTGAAGGGGGGGAGGGCCAAGCTGATGCGTATGGAGACCCAGCCAGGGTAGTGTGTGGAACGTGGCCTTGGGGTGTGGCAGCCCGAGGCTGACAGCGCGCGTCCCCTCTGCACCTCCGAGTCTGAGTGCAGGGAGGAGCTCAGAGACACCAGCCCCAGCAAGGCGGCTCCAGTGCAGGCTGGGCACTGGGTGTGGCACCCGCACGGGTCCTGTCAACGGGCACAGCCGCCGGTTAGTGCTCAGTAATGAGAACTAGTGAGGCTGGCTTCTTGGCATGAGGTCTTTGTAAAGAGCAAGTAAGACGTTTTATGTCCAAGTTAACCAACACGGGTCTGCTGGGCCTGCCGCCCGCCGGTCCTGCCCTCGCCTCGCACCTTCCCCGCCCCAGCCTGCAGCCGCCCCGCCAGGACCAGAGGTCCTGAGATGCGCGCCCCTCACCGAGCCTTGGTTTCCCAATGCATCCAGGAGCGCCCACACCGGCCAGGCCAGGGGCGTGAGGGGCGCCTGGAGGCACAAGGCACTGGCGAAGGGGCCTCCCGTCTGCTCCCCTCAGGCCCTGGGGGCAGAGGTGCTGTGAGCACACGGACGGGATGGAGGGGAGGGCACGGGGGCAGAGGTGCTGTGAGCACACGGACGGGGGGAGGGGAGGGCACGGGGGGTGGGGCAGAGGTGCAGTGAGCACACGGACGGGGGGAGGGGAGGGCACGGGGGGTGGGGCAGAGGTGCTGTGAGCACACGGACGGGGGGAGGGGAGGGCACGGGGGCAGAGGTGCAGTGAGCACACGGACGGGGCTCGGGGGGTGGGGCAGAGGTGCTGTGAGCACACGGACGGGGATCGAGGGAGGCATGGGGGGGGCAGAGGTGCTGTGAGCACACGGACGGGCGGAGGGGAGGGCTCGGGGGGTGGGGCAGAGGTGCTGTGAGCACACGGACGGGATGGAGGGGAGGGCACGGGGGGTGGGGCAGAGGTGCAGTGAGCACACGGACGGGGGGAGGGGAGGGCACGGGGGCAGAGGTGCAGTGAGCACACGGACGGGGGGAGGGGAGGGCACGGGGGGTGGGGCAGAGGTGCTGTGAGCACACGGATCGGCGGAGGGGAGGGCACGGGGGCAGAGGTGCTGTGAGCACACGGACGGGGGGAGGGGAGGGCACGGGGGGTGGGGCAGAGGTGCTGTGAGCACACGGATCGGCGGAGGGGAGGGCACGGGGGCAGAGGTGCTGTGAGCACACGGACGGGGGGAGGGGAGGGCTCGGGGGGTGGGGCAGAGGTGCTGTGAGCACACGGACGGGATGGAGGTGAGGGCACGGGGGGTGGGGCAGAGGTGCTGTGAGCACACGGACGGGATGGAGGGGAGGGCCCGGGGGGTGGGGCAGAGGTGCTGTGAGCACACGGATCGACGGAGGGGAGGGCTCGGTTGGTCCCTCTGGCCC